ATTAACGATAGCCAAATGGCGGCCGCTTTAAGGCCGAAAATGCATTGAAATCGCACATTTTCACCATTCCGAACCCGGATCTCAGTTATGCATGGACGGATTTCGTTCAAATTTGGTACATACATTAAACATAATAGGACCTTGATGCACATCATTTTATTTCCCGGATCAAGTTCGAAATGGCCGACTGGCGGCCATTTTCTTAAAGAATTCAGTTCTGGATCCGTATCCAAGACATGTCTGGATTGATCAAGTTCAAACTTCACACACACATGGTACATCATGTCACAAATAGATATGTGCATTTGTTTCATGATCCGCTTAACAATAGCTGAATGATGGCCATTTTAAGACCGAAAATGCATTAAAATCACGTATTTTCACAATTCCGGAACCAGATCTCAGTCATGCATGGATGGATTTTGTTCAGATTTAGTACAATGTGTTGTACATATGCAGGTGCATTTCGGTCATGATCTGCTTTGAATGTATATGTCACTCAAATATGAACGGAACGGGGACGTGTCATTGACAATGACTTGTTAACATTAATGAATCAATACATTCGTTCAAGTCAAAAATCGTTGTTATTAGCGTATCTCTGTATGGGTCTGCGAGTATTAATTGCAGAATGCGTTTTCTTGCAGAGTATTAAATAATAAACTTGTTAATTAAATTACTTGATCGCAGAAAATTGGACTTGCACATACTTATAAGAATTTAAACGAAGCTAAAATTGCTGTGAGACAAGTCGGTCTGGAAATAAGTGCTAATCCTATACCGAAGAAGATTGGACCGTTGACGTTTGTATTTGTAGGAAAGGGTAATACTTCTAAGGTAAATTTATATTTAGTGCGGAGTTAGAAAACTAATACAGTTGCCTTGCGCATTAGTTCTGATTATTTTATTTTATCGTTTGCCCAGGCCTTAACAAAAACTTTTAGTTTACGTAAATCGTTTTTTTTTTATGGGTAGAAATTCAACAATGTTACCATGTCCGTATCGTCGCAGATGAAAAACAAAGTATTTGGGGGAAACGGTTCTGTCATCGTTGTTGTTGTTGTTGTTGTTGACTCCGTTGTAATAACTTACAATAACAATAACTCAAACAGTTGTTATCCAATTTCTTTCAAACTTAGATATTATGTTAACCAGTTTGGGATCTCGGCTAAAGTTCAATTATGATACTAGTTCTATACATATATTTTTCAAAATATTCATTACATTTTACTTAAAGCGCGGTGGTCGTCGCGCAGTGCGTGTTCGAATTTCATGTAAATAAACAATGTATTTTACACGCGTTGTATACGTCGCTATGAGTCCCATATCGAACAGGACGCGGCGCGACGACTGCCGCCCTTTAAACTGCCCTCTTCTTGTGGTCACAATAACTAAAATCTAATCATGTTCAGAGTTCATTTTTCAAGATATAGGGACAAATAAGACTGAAACATTTTTAGACTTAGAAATAAATTGACAGAATGAAGGCACTTTGTACTACTGCCAATGAGTGCCAGGTGTTAGTGATATGCTTTCCAACTGTTTCCCCGCCCTTTTAGAATCTGGCTAGTATTTTATTTTGCTCATATATATTACTGCACTTTTATCTGGGAACGTTTTTTTTACAATTCATTCTATATTAGTAGTATTTTTTTTTTTTATAATTATGGTGATTTCATCATTTTGGGTCAGAATTGTCCCCACCTGAATTTTAGTATTTCCTTACAAATTGCTTAGATATATTATTGCATTGTTTCAGTACATTTATGCTCACTTTTGCCATGCAAAGAAAAGATATTGCACCATTAGGTTTTTATTTATCCATATATTTGTTATTTAAACTCAGTTCTCAATGAACAAGATAGTATTAGTTATGATATGTTTTTAAGTACTAGGAGTTGTATTCCTTGTGGTTAAAACCGCAGTTTCTTAAACCAACTGACGACAAATACGCCACATCGATGCATATTACAATTTATGTAAATTAGAAAGCAAATGTCAGTGTTGTTTCATCCTGTTCACCAATGCGTCTAACCATTATAACCCGACTTCGATCTATTATTTATAGGGTGCTCGCGAAATATTTGGACAGTTGCCACATCAATTTGTACGACCGATAGAATTACAACATGTGGCTATACATGGAGGTATGTATGTATCCATCTGCTTTACTCTAACCCACCCAGCCAATATTACAGTGTATCCAGGCCCGTAGTTTGGGGGGGGGGTTCGG